TCTCATGAAGAGCATTAAAAATTATGGATCAGAAGTTAAGGAATGGTCACCCAGAGGCTCCATCTAGCCTCTTTAAATGCCTTCATGTAAGGAGGGAATTACGTTACACAACTTGACTCTTAATAAAGTAATTGACTTAAACTGCATCTTAAAAAGAACATTTGCAGTTGCTTTGGGATACTCTAATCACCCGCAAAGAATACTGTGAATTCAATAATAACTACTGCATTATAATAATGCATGTATATTAAACTTGAATAAAAATATATATTTCTTTTAATTTTGAGATTATAATACAGGTCTATTATTTCCCCTTCCCTTTCTACCCCCAAAACCCCCCATATACCCCTGCTTGTTGCTCTTTTTTCATACTCATGGCCTTCTTTGTAACTAGTTGTTTTCTCTCTCTCTCTCTCTCTCTCTCTCTCTCTCACACACACACACACACACACACACACACACACACGTACAGGAGAGACAGAACATTGAATAAAGATGAACATGTTTCTTTTTCAGTTTTTCTTTCAGTATCATGATAAATTTAACAAGGAACCTTCTAATATGGAGCTGCATTGTCTCTGAGACACACTTTAGTTTGAAGTGGTTGAAAGCTCATTGGAAGACCCCTACCTGATGGGGGAATTATATCACTCTTGACATCAGAGCTCCTGAGTTCAAGCTACCACAGTTCACATTGTGATTGAAAGGTTGAAAGATATCACCAAAGAAGCACAAGCATCGAACAATACATTTGAATTTCAGAGGTTATCATATGTACATGACATATATCCTCTTGTACAACTAGAACACTTACAAGCACATTTGTATCTGCTTTTTTGGATGTAGCAAATAGGAAATAAACACATATAAGGAGATTAAACATATAAATTGTACAGGAAATTTTATATCCTTATGCTATTTCCTCAAAATGACATGCCTTCTCATTTATATATTCAAATATTGGATAAACAAATATTCTTAAGACATTATTAATGATAATGTCTGATCCTTACTGATTACTAGGCCCAATCGTTTGTAAGCACCTCATTATAGCCCTCATATATAATTCCAAAAAATTCTTAATATTTTAAAGGCTAATATATACTAAAATAGGCAATTATTTATTATTAACCCCAAAATATACCAATTTTTAAAATCTTACTGTATCTAGATTAGAAAGCCCTTTAAGAAATAAAATTTTATTAGTGTGAATTAGGTTTTTATGCTCAAGCATTGTGGTTTTAACTTGAGTTTCTTATATTATTTAAATTGAATTTGAATTATCTTCCTATTCTCTTCCTGTACACTCTAAAATGCTCCATTTGGGGGGTTTGTTTCATGAGAAAAACATTTGGGTTAAACAGTAATAAACCTTTACGCTTTAAAGAATTTCATGATATATATATTGTTTTTTATAGTAAAATGTCATTTAGTAGGAATATGAAAAAAAGGAATCTTTCCCAATGAATATATAAGTGCTTTAGCAAATGACTTACATATCACACCTAATTTAGATCAAGAATGTCTGACTTTTTTCCACATAATTTTAACATACTAAGTGCATTTTGAATATAAAATGAAAATGTGTTGTAACTATCTTCCAACAACATTAAGTATCTGGCTTTCATTTAATATTTAACAACCATCAAAGCACATGCTAAGTTATAATTTGTTTATGTGTCTACATATATACATTTATATAAGCACTTGACAGTTTTGCCCTTCTGAATTAGCATAAGAGTTATCACCCAGCTTAAATAGACTAGGCTCTGTTTTACTAGAGTATCAAGTATCCTATGCCAATGTCATTCTATAACCCTTGCCAAAAACTCATGACTGGGGAGAACACAGGCCCCATGAACTATTTACTATTCTGATTTAGTGGAAAGACATGTCATCAAATAGTTTTCTGAATATGTGTGCTTATATAGAGAGATAAATGCATCGTGGATGAGAATTTACAGGTTGCAGCTAATGAACTGAATGCAGAGATACTCGGGGCTTCTCAAGTGCTAAGGTATGTGAGTGCTGAGAGCTGAAGCCTAAAGATTACATTTATGACAGATCTTTTAGGTTCAAAGAAGGCTAGGCAGTGGAGGTGCATGCCTTTAATACCAGCCCTAGGGAGGTAGAGGCAGGTGGATCTCTGTGAGTTCTATATGGTCTATATAGTGAGTTCCAGGACAGCCAGGGTTATAACAGAGAAACCAAGTCTCAAAAATAAATATTTGATGCTCAGAAAATAGTTCAGAAGATCAGAAGAAATGTCTGAAAGAATATGACACCTGGATATCAAGAATAAAAATTGCAAAATGTGATCTTCAGGGTACAACACACATATGATGAACTCATAGCAGCTGGATTGCATGATCTGGGGTCACAATATATTGTCCCTTTGAATGGTCATGGAAGGATTTCTGGGTCCCTATTCTTTATTATTTTTTATTTTATTATTTTAATTTTAAATAGCTTGTTTCACATGTCAATCCCAGTTCCCTCCTCTCGTACCCCATCTGGGTCCCTATTCTTTACTCCTGAATAAATAGGCTACCAACAGATTCAAGGAGAAGTCATTGTCTTCAATGTCACCACTGCTTAGCCTAGAAAGTTCCATTGGATACTTCTCAACCCATTGTCACCTGTATTACATTTCATCATGAAATTATGCAGGTAAATTTTCTCTAAAAGTTCTTTCTTATTATATGACTTTCTTGAACATTTTAATGGGAGATATTACACAGGTATTTACCTTTCCAAGCAAAATATACTTATCTTTTTCTCATTAAATAATTTTCACTCAGGTCTTTGGTATTTTGTGGTAGGTAATTAGACAATTATTTTAAGGAAAACATAAGTACAAATGAAAAGTACACTATTGACAGTGAACTATGAACCTGTCTCTTTACATTTTCTCTCTTGAGAATGGAGTTATTTTAAATAGATAGGACTTTGTAAAGCTACAACCAGGAAGCAAATTAGTGTCTGTGAGGTTTGAAAGAAAATGGCCTCCAAAGAGAGTTGAACTATTTGGAGGTGTGGCCTTGTTGGAGGAATTGTATCACTGTGGGGCTGGCTTTGAAGTCTCTTTTTCTCAAGCTTCCCTCAGTGTGACAATAAGTTTACTTCCTGTTACCTCCAAGAGGAAGCATACTCTACTCCAGCACCACATCTGACTGCATGCTGCCGTGTTCCCTGTCATGATCATAATATACTGAACCTCTAAAACTGTCAGTGAGCCACCCCAGTGAAAGATTTTTCATTATAAGACTTGCTTTAGTCATGGTGTCCTTTCACAGCAATAGTAAAACCTAACTATGACAGTTCCCAAACTACCCCATTCTATGTATGTGCTCATGTTAACCAGCCATATGAGTGAGCAGGGCAGTTCTTATTTTATTGTGGTAAGCCATAAGGACATTAGTGGTTTTTAAATAAATGTATTTATTTTACATTAATTACTTTAGTTATTTCTCTAACTACAGGTAAAATTTAAAAGTGTACTTCTTACAAGAATATGTTTTAAAAAATTCAGAATCCCAGGGATCATTTGAATGCTTACTGATACACTTACAAATTAATCCCATAATAAAGACAAATAGAATTAATTGCAATTGATATGTATTCATGCCACCTGTGTGTATCAAGAGAAAATAATGAAATTATATGATGAATATGAATTTCAAAAATGCTTCCTGAAAGCAGTAGCTTCTCTCATGCACTTTATTTCATCCTGTCTGTCAGCATACTGTGATTTGAGATGGTAAACATGAAAGCATTGCTTTGTTTCCCAGGGATGGTTACATCCCCCTTCTGTCTTTATATATTTTTCTGGGTGTTGTTGTGAGAATCTTGGAGACCCTTATTAAAACTATCTGTAAACCTAAGGGGATGAAAACAATCTGGTGATGCAGATGGGAACTGTGTGGTAAGAATAAGCTGTAAGTAAAAGAGTTCAGTGAAATCCTGATGCCACAGGAAGGAAAATCATCACGCTTCCACAGAAGTCTACATTTGTGTAAACTATCTTCAACCTTTTGTTTGTTATTTGTTACTGACCCTAAGAGGCAACATAGCTTAAAGTTGAAAATTAGAAAATCCATGATATCAATTGACATTACTTTAAAAAAATTAAAGTTCCTTTACCAATTATATAAATAAGTTAGTAAATTCCCACAGTTTCTGTCAGAAACTCTTTAAATGTAAGTAAGAAGAAAACATCATATTACAGCAGTGCTAGGACCAGAATACTTGTAGAAAAATGGATTTCCAGCTATCAGCTAATCAATGTATAAAAGTAGATATTTATCCTAAACTATAACATTCAAAATTGTTCCTATATATTTTTTGTTTGATTGTTTTAATAGTGATAGGAGCAGTTTGATACATAACTTGTTAAAGGCACGTGATCTGAAATGCTCTTGGCCTGATAGTCATTTGCATATTTAGAGAGAGTGATAAATGAATCAATAATTAGCGTGGCTAGTGGTCTAAGTGATGCTTGCAGAGGCTCTAAACATAGTTTTCTTTCAAGTTTGAGGTAAAAATTTTGTATCATTATGTATAATCTTACTTCATTCATTGTCTGTTATTGACATGAAAACTTCTATGTAATCAAAATATAAACTAGAACTATTGGAAATAAATTTCCTCTGGCAAGCCTTTTAATTGTTTATATTTTCTTCTTTGCAGACCTATGCAGCAGCATGAACATTAAAAGCCTCATATTATAGCACTATTTTAAAGTATTTATTATTACTGAAATCTGTGAAATTATTTTTATTTGAAAAGTAAACACAGTTTGCATAGTTTTGGTTATGAAGGTATGAAAAAATACTTTAGCAGAACAAAAAAGATTTTGTACAAGTCCAGTGAATCTATTAATTACTGAAGTTATAGAAAACATAGTAACCACAGTGACAACACTTGGACAAATTGTCTTTCATTAGTTTACTGATTATTATAAATATGACTAACTATAGAATTTCAAGACTTAAGGTTTAATACTTAGCTGGCAGGGGTGATAAGATGATCCAGAAGGTGGTTTTCCCAGGGCGAGGCTTATCCATTTTACTTCGAGGATGTGCTGACCCCTGTGATTTTCCCAAAGTGGGAAACTCGATTTCATAATTTGTGGTAGTGGGAGAGTGCATTTGTGCTCTCCCCTGGGGCAGGAGAAGACTTAAGGTACAAGTCTGGTCTACTTTATGACCCTGTCATTCCCTCTGTGTGAGATTGTTAATATATCTGATTCTCCAAGCTCTTCCTTATCATTAGTCACAGCTGCTAAAATTCTGTTCAACCCAACAGAAACAGATACAAAGTAAATTTAATATCTGAGAGTTAAACCCCCACATACAAGGGCAAAAGTTTTCTCTTCAAAGTGGTTTCACCCCACTAGTTTTGTTTACATGTTTAAAAATTAGCATTTATGAACTTTCATTGAAAGCGGCTACTCTAGGGTCCTGAAGCTCATGTAACTTTTATAAGATCTGTGAAATATGCGACTATAAGAAACAATGTTTAATATTGAATTTTCATGCTTCTTAATCTCAGAAGAACCATTTTAAGAACCCTGTTTTAAGATATCATTGTGAATTACTCACTAATTAGATTTCGCAAAATATGATACATTTTTATTATTCTTACTGTTGTTTGAAAACAAATAGAACACTGCTCAAAAATTTACATTTTTAACGTTTTGTATGGGACTGGATATATTGTCACACATCTTTAATCCCAGCACTCAGGAGGTAGGAGCAGGTGATTCTCCTTTAGTTCAAAGCCAGCTTGGTCTACAAGGACTACACAGAGAAACCTTGTCTTAAGAAACAAACACATAAACAAGCAAATAAAAAGAATGGATTATACATTCTTTTTATTCTTCGTGTCCTTGTCCTCATTCTCCTCCTGTTCACTGTAATCAAGGTATGAACCAGAACTACAGCATCAAATTTATTGGCCCCCATCCTTTATAGCAAGTATTCTTTCCTTGGAAGGTGTTATAATGTGGACCTGGGTTGTTTGCCATTTGTTTGTCAGAGACTATCTTATTTCTTTTCCATGTTATGTTCATCAACACATCTAATCCTTTTCCTTAAAGTCATTAAAAAAGAGACTTTACATGACATAAGCATTTACAAAATCGGATCAGTAATGATAAAGTACATTTTCATTGTATTTTGTTGACGACAGCTAAGTCACTGAGCCCCATGTGAAAACATGACCAAGAAAATGATACTATTAATATAAACCCATTATTGTACTATGTATACCAAGTAATAAGTGCTGTCTGTATCTTAAGTGAAGCAGGTGTCATTTAGATGACACTGAATACAGATTAATTTTTAAATTTATGAATAGGAAAAAAGTAACATTGTGATATGGTGCATAATTTTCAGAGAAAGAGATGAGATCGGGTATTTCGTGGGAGGTATGAGAATGACAAGGGGAGAAAAGGAGGTGGGGAGAAGGACATGAGGGATCAAGAAGGCTGAGCCCTCCTAGAGCCTTCATCCAGTAGCTGACTGAAGCAGAAGCAATGATCCACAGCTAAACACTGAGCCAAACTCCTGGAATCCAGTTGTAGAGAGAGAGGATGGATGAGCAAAGGACTCAAGACTATACTGGAGAAACCTACAGAAACAGCTGACCTGAACAAGTGGGAGCACATGGACCCCAATCATAAAACTAGGGAACCGGCATTGGACCAAACTAAGTCTTCTGAATGTGGCTGTCATTCAGCAGGCCTGGGCAGTCTATGGGGTGTCTGACAATGAAACCAGTATTTATCCCTAGTGCACAAATGGACTTTGGGAAACCATTCCCCATCGAAGGCAACTCTTTCAGCCTATACACATGAGGGAGGGCCTAGACCCTGCCCAAATGATGTGGCAGACTTTGATGATTTCACCATGGAAGGCCTCACTCTCCCTGGAGAGTGTATGAAGTGGGATGGGGGGATCAGCAGGGGAAATGCAAGGTTTGGAGGGAGAGTGAACTGGGATTGATACATAAAGTGAGATTGTTTCTAAATAAAATAGAAATCAATAAAAAACAAAATTCAGTTCAGTTATTACATATTGTCTTCAGTTTTATTTCCAAGTAAAATCAAAACTTGCTTTTTATAGACTAAGGGATGTCTTTTGTTGATCTGGACAGAGTAAAGTAAACATTTCCCTGCTTGCCTTGATCCTATACTTTATTCAGGTGAACATATTCTTAAATGTAAATGTTCCCCTCCCCATTTCTGGCAGTTATAACTTATCCTTAATCACTAGTGTAATGTCATGAGGAAGAACTGTTTGTAATAAATCAAACTTCAGAAAACTTCTCTCTCTCTCTCTCTCTCTCTCTCTCTCTCTCTCTCTCTCTATCTATCTATCTATCTCTATCTCTCTTGAGAGGGTTTCTCTGTAGCTTTGGAGGCTGTGAAGCTGTCCTGAAATTAGCTCAGTAGACCAGACTGGCCTTGAACTCACAGAGATCTGCCTGTATCTGCCTCCTGAGAGCTGGGATTAAAGGCAAGTGCCACCACTGCCCAGCTCAGAAACTTCTTGTTCATGCAAACTTATATATTTCTATGGGTGTATGTTCTACATAGGTATCTCACCACCAAGGGAATTTTCTTTCACTATTTACTGAAAAGCACTACTTAATTTCATCACAAAATGCCAATATTTATTCATAATAGAAAATAATCACATAGCATAAGGTACAAGTAAACTACTGGATATGCTGCTGTGTTCAGTGCTAGGTGGAATCCAGTTAATTTGTAGGATCTGCCTTCTTTTTTCCCCAAAACCTGCCGTGACTACGGCCAGTAAATATGTAAGTGCTTTTATACTTGCTTTTAGTGTATCATTAATTAACGCTTACATTTCTGGATATCCTCCAAAATAGGCAACAAGGTTTTAAATGAAACATGTTGGTGGATTTAAATAATTGTAAAGTTCGAACTTAGCAAGCTTAACTAAAAGAAGACACAGAGTCAATTTGGAACGGGGTAGAATATCAAATTCAATATCACATGCTGACATTTAACAACTGAAAAGTTCTCTAGTCCTTGATAAGATCATTCCTCATTTTAGAACATTTCCATCCTTGGAACATGCTTCCAATCATTGAGTTGATAAAATAAATGGAATTCAAGATGTTGTATATTTCAGTTTATTCTGGAGCCTATGAAAAAGTGCCAAAAGGACATTTTTCCTGTTGATTTCTAAGATATGAAATTTCTATATATACAAATTTTAATACTGAAAAAAATAGTTTAAGCCTTTTTATTTATGCACTTATGTCAATAGCTAATTTTTACTTTTGTAAAAGTTGAATTTTCAGTTCTGAAACATATGAACACAAAGATAATGATTTTAAATATATATTGAATTATAAAATAAAACAAATTCTTGGGGTATATGATCTCATGCTACTTTTATAAATATGTTAGGGGACGATTATTTGTATTAATAGCTTTTATCCAAGGAAGTATACAAGAAAACATCCATGTGTGCTTAAAATTATTGCAGTTATACATATGACACAATATTAGAATTGTCATGTAGAAAATAAATGACATTCATTAAATCTTATTTGTATGAGGCAAGAACACTTTCCAGTATTTCATACTGTAATAAGTGCAGTGACAAAGAGAGCATGCTCACACACAAGAAGGTGAGTAAACTGTCGTTCCAGATGCTGGTTGGACGAGGTGATTATCAGTCTTATGCCAATAATTTTTCTCTGTGTCTAACTTACTCTATCTACACTTCACTGACCCATCAGGAATTATACAGCCTTCTCCATCTGGCATTTAGCTTTTAAAACTCAGTTTCTGTCATTACAAACATCTGCAAAAAGCTGGCAACTATATTTTATGATGTTCTTTAGTTTCAGGTTTGAAGTATACCTAGTTTTGCAAATATTCTTAAAACCCAGATTATTTTCTTCTTCTCTGTTTATTTAATATTCCAAAATTCCTTCCAGGTTTGAAGAAACTAGATGACAAAATCTCTAGTTATCATCCTCGAAGTAAATCTCTCATATTTACATTTCCTCCTGGATGATTACTGACATCATTCTTCTGTGCTTGTTTTTGCTTCACGTTTTGGCTATGTTGCTCAATACACACAAGACGACAAAATGAGTAAGGTGAGTATCTGAAACATTTCCACCCATATACATCAATTTTTAAATACAGTCTATATCCCATGTATATTATAGTCCTATTTATTTGTTTTATCTCTTTAGCCATGTATACTGGCCTATTTTTCTCAAAATATATAACATGAAAAAATAAGGCTAGTTTCTAAGGATTTAGAGATTCCTTAAAAGTCTCAGAGAGTGCTGTCATGCGCATATGTCTATAAACACTTAAGATCTCATAAACACATGGTTTGTGAGAGTAAGGACAAATCCTAATATAATGCTTTAAAGAAAGTAACTTCTGCTATTTCATTACAAAACCTCTCGAAACCTTTCTTCTGATACCAATTTCTACACCTAACTTTGTGTAATATAATTTGAGACAGTCCTGATCTCTCTCCCCAATTGTCACTTATTCTCTCATCTGGGGATGTTATCCCATGAATTTTCCACCATTTCAGACACTGATTGAAAGCAGTGGTTTGTCCTTTGGACCTCTAAAACTGACTATAATTCAAGGGTTTCCCAGACAATTTACTAGTTTATTTTCAATTTTTTGAGGTCTTCACAAAGCTCAAGAAAGTATTTCACTTAAACTCATCCATTTATTTTAAAGGACACAATTAAAGGAAGTTGGTTGTTTTTTTCAGAGTTCCTACTCTCTAATCTATTTATTTTAAATATTTTATTTATTCTTGCCTATTTATTTATTTATTGCACAGTGTAGGATCTGGAATCTATGTTGGGTTTGGAATTTAAATTATTTCCATTTACTGAAAATCAATTATATTTTACAGAATTTATCCATATTATCCATCCAATCTCTCCCCATCTCCTCTTTTATATGGAACCACTCTATTTTCTGTCTCTCATTAGAAACCAAACAGGCCTCTAAAGGATAATAGCAGTATAGTATATTATAGTATAGTATAGTATGATAATATCATTATATGTTACAATGTAATAATATATATTAATAAGATGAAAACTAAAACATCAGCATTTTACAAACAAACAGAAGGAA